GGCCCATTGAATTGGTCATTGAAATATAACTTTTTTTACTGAAATAGGTGCCCAAATATTTGTGGCCCTCCCTTCTAGATGGGCACAAAAAAATTTGGCCCTCCCCAAAAAAGGGGGTCCAAAAAATGGTAGCCCTCCCCCTAAATTTACCGGCCCTCCCCCCCCAATAATTAATGACCGCTCCCTAAGAATTCTATAATCATAACTTATAGTATATCCCTTACCAAACTGACAGACTGACATTCTGCAACATATAGGAATTTGGCCCCATAACATATATGTCACAGTTATGTGACAGATACCTGTTACAGTTATGTGACAGATATCTGTTACAGTTATGTGACAGATATCTGTTACAGTTATGTAACAGATAACTGTCATATATCTGCAACATATAGGAATTTGGCCCAACAACATATCTGTCAAAGTTATGTCACAGTATAGTTTCCCTACAGATAAAATTATCTGTATATTATCTACCAAGCAGATATGTCACATAACTGCCACCAAGTGAAAAACACCAGTTGATTATTTCTGCAGCATGAAGTTCAACTTGTTGCTTCTGTACCATCAAGTTGCTATAATTTTATCTCGTCATGTTCGCTTGAACCCATAATAATTGAATACAAAGAAATACTATCAGAATATTAAATGTATTTATTAATAAATATATAATTATAGGACACACATATAAATAAATTTAAGCCTGTACCATCAATTTTACACCAGAATAATTAGACTATATCCTACACTTATTTAAAATTTCCTAATATTATTGAAGGCAAGGTGATTACAAGCCTATATTCACTGAGCCACAAGCAAAGTGAATATAGGCTTGTAATCACTGAGCCTCAGGCAAGTAATTGTTTTAGTATAATTTCAGTATTGAAAAATAAAGCTGTATTCTGTGACCCCAAAGGTCGCTTAGAAAACTTTTAGTTTACATGAATCTATAAATTTTGATACGCTGAGTACGAATTCACTTGTTGTCACTTGCACAGACCCGCAGTTTTTTTGTATTTTACGATCAAACATCAACAATTTTTATTAAAATTTCCGCCTTTTTGTTCAGGAAACTTCATGTTATATACAGTTATTGTACTAGTCCAAGTCTCTTAGCAGGGGTGTTGCACACTGTATTACACAGTTTGTTATCATTCTTCTGAGAAAAATATACAACAGCAACAACAACAACAAATTTATTAATAATATAAAGAATATTTACAAATTTACACAATTCTGCAGGTAGCAAAAGCTAATCGAGGCAGAAAGTGTATGTAATATTATTACAGAAAATGAGCAAATTTAATTTGTTTTTGTTTGTTTGAAAGTAAATAAGATAATAATCAACTGATCGGATTTAACAGATATTTTCGAACAATCTACTTACTTTGAAATAATATAAAATGGTTAGCAGTAGCTGCTTATTATTTTAATCAGGTTAGGCATATTCACCCATTCCTCACATTCCAAAACCTTCAATAATATTTTATGCAACATCAACTTCAAATTTGTTTTACGTTGCTTTTTTAATTCAACAGGGATACTGTTCCAAATACTTACACCGATTCTTGAGAAAGATTGTTTTTGCTGATTTAATCTCGAGTAGTTGACATAAAAATTATCACCAGATAAAGACCTAGTGTTATGATTGTGTATGTTACTTACACTTGTAAATAATAGCAAAATATTTTTTTGAGCAATATTGATAAATACATCATGCATTAAGATCATAACTGATTTAAAATAGAGCATATTCTAGGGAATTATTTTAGAAGAGGCAAACACAGGAATTGTATGTGCTCTATAGCTCATGAAGGCGAAGAGCTCGCTGTTTTTGAAGCTTGCCCCCAAACACATAAACCATAAGAAAGAAATGGGTAGATTAACTCATTAACTGGCAATGCGCCCTGAGATTGGCAAGTGGGTAACTGGCAATGCGCCCGCATAGACCCTCAAATGACACCTCAACTTGCGGGCATGATATTTGAGCACGTGTTTATTGGGTTGCCTAGCAACGGATACGAAAATAGAACACGAAATTCGAGCTTTTCAACGGTGTATCATGCAAGAAAATCGGCCAAAACCTCGCAAAGTTTTTCAAGTTTAAAACCTTAGTTTTTCAAAAATAATGAATAATGGCGATATTGTTGCAAAGAAGGATTTCACAGCAAGTTTTAGAAGAGAAAAAAGAAGACGTTTTTGAATGATTTACAAGGAAAATTTGGCACGAAAGGAAAGCGAATGTATTGACGTTTTGGGCCAAGTTCTTCTGTGAACCATGCGCGAGACTTTCAGCCAAAAAGATGAGGATTTCTCCAAAATCACAAGAAAGATGAACACGGAACTCAAGTGAGCAGATACGATTTTTTAAAGGGTATTTTTTAGTACAAATATGCGATCAAACACTCACAAAATTCGACCGCATTAATAGTGTTGGTTGAATCTAGATTAAAGTTATCTTTTTAGACGAACTGTTTATGCAAATTTGGGTGCAACTTTGACTGTTTTCGTGACCCCATTGTTGGTCTTCTTGTTCAAGTTGTTATTTAGCTAAAGTATATTTCAAACAACACTTACTGTGTGCATACGTGATCTTTTTTACCTTTTTGGCAAGAATACTTCGAGTATTAAATTACACTAAATAAGTAGGATATTCCAAAATCACTGTTAATACCTATTTTCATCAATTTAGTGTTAAAATGACAACTCGTTTCAGACGTATTGTGGTTTAAAATAAGTGTATTGAATAAACGCGCTTGCTTGCCGCGTGCGAATATTCAAAAAGTCCGCACTTGAGTTGTAAAGCTTTCAAAATGCATTTTTACTGTTTTTTTTATATCCCATATAAAACTTTAAATCGATAAAGCAGATAATAATGTTGATGCAACATCATTTTCTAGTAACTACACGTTGAATCAGAAGGAAAAGTTATCAAAATAGGTCGTGACGGTTGTTTGCAAAATGTTGCTTCTCTCTGAAATGGCTTCCTTTGTGGGAAGCCATGAAATTGAAGTCCTAACAAAAACTAACCTTAGCAGTTCTTTTGGGCCCATTGCTCACTTATTTATCATGAAATCGCTTCACTAGAACATTTTTAATAATGTCTATGGGAAACTTTGTAATTTTCTGAACTAAAAGTTTATAGCACGCGCGACAAAATGGCACTAATGTGGTTTCTCACGTCTGACAAACAACCAAAGATTAAAGTTCTTATTTCACCCTTTTATAGCTATGTGGAATACCTGAATATTAGGTTATCTTTTTCATGTGAACATATAGATAACATTTCTATACAATAGTCCTTATGGAGGCTTATTTCAAACTCAAAAAAAGAGATCGTTTTTCAGAGCCAGACTTCAAAAGAAACCGCCTGTCTGACATTTTATAGCAGCCTACATTGGCGCACAAAATAATTTCGGCTTTTAAACCGTTGCTTTCCCAATAGAAGCATGAAAATATTGAGCTAAAAGTCTTACCTGTCATGTGTTAAAAGTGTTTTTCTCTTTATGATGCTTTTCAGTGCTTTGAGTACAGAAGTGAATAGCTTTTAGTTTTGTCACCGCAGAGTGCCTTTCAAAATGTCGGCTGTCATTGTCTGTGTTAAAAACACCTCAGAAAATTCCCATTTTCTCACCTTCCCATCCTTGGTTTATATTAAAATAAATAAATTTAAGCACTATGTGTCTTTTTAAATATATTTGAAGCAATCAAAAAACTTTAAAGATGTACAAACACTGTTTTGGCTTGCACACTTTGTTGAACTTGAACACTTAGTTACTGTTCTAAATTTCATGTTGTAAACAAGATGCCCCAAAAAAGCAAAGAAGTAATTTTTAAATTATTTGATAATTTCATAATTCATATCCCAAAAGATGAAAATTGGTTGTAATATAGATATATATTAATTTAGTAAATGATTTTTTTTTGGTTTTTATATACATTTAAGTGGCGAGAAAGTACGTTAAAAATGTGACTTTATTTTTGTTTTTTCAAATTCTCTTCTGCAAGTCAAAGAAATAAGTTTTTTTCTTTGGTGTAAATTTTCCCAGCTTCTTGCGTAGGTACCATAGGCCCTGACGTCAATAAAAGTTCTGCAACTTTGATTACCGCATGTAGTTTTTGCACGCTTCTTTGTGTCAACTTCATTTTATAGTTGGTCATTGAGCTGCTGGACGCTTTCCTCCATACCTTTTCCAGCGACAATTTTGTCATTCACCACAAATTTTTCTATGGTTGACGATTGAGCTCTTCGGTTTTTTGTGGTACCAGCCCTTACTCAAAGAAGGTAATGTCGCCTCAAATACGCTGGTTATGTCCTTGTTATAATTACCTGTGGACTGAGGATCACCAAATATTTGTTCGTTTTCATTTGTTTTCAAGTTACCAAAGACTTCAGTGTTCAATGTGTCTGTATTATAGTCTGTGCACTCTGGGTGAGTTGTTGACTTTTTACAATCTGTTGACTTGGAGTAAAAACGTTGTGAAAGAAGAGGCATACTGATTACCTGATCACTATCACTAGCATCTGCTGGCTGAAAGTAAAACGTCGGCGAGAGAAGAGGCATACTCAAAATTACCGGATCACTATCACAATCGGAACTGCAGAGTAATTCAGCCCTGTTTCTCTCTTCCGAGGTGCTTTTTTCACACCAATTTCTCGTTAGTAGAGGCATCGAAAAATGTATTTTAGTTTCTTGTTCAAAATGCCATTTATTTATTGGTCTTGCCACTTGTGATTGCACATGTTGTTCTACTGTACTATTTCTTTTAGATTTTTTGACACAAGTAGAATAATTCTTTTTTGGACTTGCTTGTGACGGCACCCATTTTCTCTGTACAACCTTTCTTCTCGCTGTTTTGACTGAAGCTGAATAATCAACATTTTTCTCATAGCACAGGTTTTCCTACTCTTGGCTTTTTTACTGGAGTCAATCATGCTCTGTTTGACGTTGCGCTTTTTCCCAACTACATTCCAAAATATAGTTTCGCAGTTCTGTGTGTTGATGGGTAACACAGGAACAAAATATTTAACACTCAACTCCGATCAATCAGGCCAGCCGGAAATATCTGTCCACATTATTAATATGCTCTCTAGCGGGCAATGGTTGAAACTATCATTCCTGGTCTTGGCTGATAAATTCCATTTAATAGACTAAGCATGTTGTGTCTAGTGTCAGGGTAGATAAGATGGATTTCGCATCCGATTGCGGATGACAGCCCCATTATCTGAAGTAAGCCAGAGAATGTACCTAAACAAGCTGTGCGCCTGGCTTCACACTTTAAAGCAGCATCGAATCCGCTTTTGACACACACTGTGCAGCTGTTATTGCTAAAGACTATTGCATCGAAAAGTGAGGCCACACTCCAAGGGCTGCCATTCTTTGTTTTGAATTCATTAGCTAATAACGTTAACATTGGGTGGTTCTTGTAGAATTCAAGATTTTCAACCAGTTCAATCGTGGTTTGCACCCGAAGTTCAGCGCTCAGCTTCTCTGAACCACACAGTGCTAGACTGGTTGCGTTGAACAAACAGTTACCATCCCCTCTTGTGATTATCAGTTTAACACTGGCTTGCCTGTAATGTTCGGGAATTAAACTATCTGCAACTCTATCGACTTTTTCCACGGCGAACAATAAGTTTTTCATAATATCTTTGTCAAATATATTCTCAGAGCTGTATAATCTATTTAAACCAACAGACAATTCAAACAGTTTTTCGAACGTACCTTGACCTGATAGTTGATAAAGATCGTTAACAGCCTTCGAAGACATTGCTGTTCGTACATGAAATATTTATAAACTTTAAGAAATTAATTAAGCAATAAAATGTTGTTTATGTTAGGTGATATGTTTCTGCATTGACAAACTTACATGAATTATGACTATTGTTAATAGAATGATTGCCCCCCCCTCCCCCCTCCCCCATGCACGCATGTTTACCCACAAGTCAAAAGTTTGTGCACATATGCATTTTGCAACGTTTGTGTTTTAGTCATTACTGTAAGGCTATCATGTAGAAAGTTTCGTCTGAATACGGCGAATAGAAATATTTATTTTGATGTTTTCAAAATATCGGCAAAAATATCTGTTTTTGCTCGCATGCTAAAATTGCATGGTCAATAAAAGGAGTAACAGTTGTAATTTGACCTTTACTGGCTTTAGAAATCTAATTTTGCTGAGTACACTAGTCATTACTACTACAGATTGAAATACCGAAATAAAAGATTTAACGGACCAGCCCGGCTCTGGCTGCATTTAGACTATGACGCTACGGTAAAATTATGTAGTGAGTTTTTAACGAAATTTTAATTGATCAGTTGCATTCAGAGTGGCCAATGTAGTGGTCCGTAGTTAGTACGCTACGGAAAACCACTCTGTTATAGAGTATTAAAACAGAATACAGTCTCAATACTAGAAACGTAGTATAAAATTTTCAACGGAATGTTAGCCGTAGCCGTCACAGACTTCCGAAATTTAATATGTGGGTGTAATACTCACTAAAAGCTTTCACTTGTACAGACATTGTTTTTATTATTATAATAAATATTAATATTCAGTGTAAAATCTATGAACAAAAATGATATTTTACTATAAACCTGGCTCAACAGACGGTCATGAAACAACAGAATAGGCTTTTAACAGCATGGGTGGGACCATACAGATTATAAAGTATGTTAGTGAGTAAATACACTAGAATATATTTCATTCAGTTAATTGCATTGGCCATGGCCCATGGGCATGGGAAAAGTTTGAATTGAACCAAAAATAGCTTAACATGCATAGTCACTGTATTAACTTTCGCGTTACTGGTAGCAGAATGTTTTTGCGTGTGATTTGTACTCACTCCAGACGATTGTCCATGCTTCCCTTTCTTTGTTTCAGAATTGAGAGAATTTACAGCTATAAGGATTTTCAAAGTTTGATCTTTTCCTTATTTTCCTTCAGCATATTTATTGACTTTCAAAATGGTTTCTTGTCTTAACGAAATAGGAGTGTCTTTCCAAATAAACGAATATCTCGTTGGGAAAAGCTTGAGATTCTTTGCCCCTTGTAAGCGTATATTAGAAAGAGTAGTGTTTTCATCTACCTTGTCCAGGACTCCATACTCTTTGCCTTCCTTGTCACAAAAGGATATTTTGTACTGCATAATTTGTTCAGCAAACCGTTGTCCAAATATCCCGATACGGTCTACTGTACGGTCTATAAACAGCTACAGTATAATTCAGTAAATATAACCAAGCTTCCGTGAGGCGTGAATTTAAATAATGTGCTAAAAATGAGTTACCACACGAAAATCAAACTTTTACTGCTGAAATTTTAATTTTTATTATATTATAGCTCGTATTTGTATGTGTGAAATTTACAACTTTTTGAAGATCGTTAAGGGGCGGACCATTAGAAATCCCGGGAGGGGGGGGTATAAAATTTTTGCGGCACAAATTTTTTTTTCAGTCTCATGTCACTGCAGGATTTTTTTTTTAATGCATTTAACCTCTGCACAAATTTTTTTTCAAGACTATTTGTACTTTGCTGTTTGCTTGCATGAATTTTTTTCCAGGCATTTTTCTTTGCACAAATTTTTTCTAAATTTTCACCCCCCCCTCCTCCCGGGATTTCTAATGGTCCGCCCCTAATGGGCTATCGCTAATTACTTGCGTTCCCTTACTGATCGAGCAAAGTGAAAGTTGTAGCAAAATGTAAACAATGCAAAATTCCACTGAAACTTTGTTTAACACGCTCTCTAGCCTCTCTTCATAAACCAGTGTTAAGATACAATTAAGAAGCTGCATTCAATTTAAAGGCATATATGTTTCCTTCTTACCAATTTTCTCCATAATATTACACAATACACATGAATGCAAATATGCAATAGTTCTTTGTATTATAGTGCATGTTTTCCACAAACTATTTGAGTTAATTATCGATATCAAAATTTGTATGATCTCGCTAGTACTATCATTCATTGATATTTATTTATGCAAGAGTAACCTGATGAATAATACTCCAGCAGTTACAAGTATATAATTCCCGAAGCTCAGCCTATGGAATCAAAGGGCTTGGGCATGTGGATCAGTAATATTAAACACATATTAAATAGACAATAAATGAATATATTTCCATCACATCCAAAGCACATGTAATTTTCCGCTTGACGTGCACGCCACGTCCGCTGAGAGTTAAGTTGAGGCTGAATGTGGCTGAGGTGTTTAAAGCTTTAAATTGTGCGAAAAATGGACGTGCAACTTGTACAAGAAAATGGTGATCATACCAGGAAACCTTTAGCAATTCTGTTACATGTTCAAGAAGAAACGTATTTGGCCAACGTCCGCAATATAATTGCTGAGGAGGTATCAGACATCATGCCACCCGGTAAATATCACTTTTGTTTTGGAGGAACAGTTGTGAGCAAAGTCATGGAGAAAGAGCTCAGACTTAAGCAAATTCTCGAAAAAAAGTGATGACGCGTCATTGCACGTAGCTGTTCTATCAATAGATTTACTTGATAATGAAGAAGGCAGCCAAGGTGAAGTTGGTTTGAAACACGAAGGAACACAAAGCCCATCTTTTGTGTCGGCTGTCTTTGAGACTGGATACGTACATGATTATGAGTCATTCCAACCAACAAACTCCAAATCAGTGGCCACTTTTGATATAAATAGCAACACAATTAGCCAAGCCGAGAACCTACAGCAGAGTTTTTTCAGGGGTTTTTTAGGGCCGTTAAACGGCCCCAAAAACTCAATCTTGAATTGAGTTTTGAAACTCAATCTTTCACCAAAGTTTCAGTGCAGTAAAAATGAAGTTGTTTGAGTTTAAATTTGTGACGTGTGGAAATTAGTTTTCAGTTGGAAACCCGACAATTAAAAAAAATGGCTGGAATTAATCTCACAACACAATTAAAACTATGCATTCGCCATCTTTAACCAATTTAGAAGATTGAGTGCAGGGGGGGGGTGACACCTGCAAAAACGGACCCAAGAAAAAAGCCCTGTACAGGAGTCATCAATGCAAGCGACATCCTTGCCAAGCGTATCTTTGTTGCCTGAAACCCCAAAGAATTTCAAGAAAGTACTTCAGCTCAGGTCACCTACAACAACTGAAATATGCAGTTTAAAAATCTACACTGACATTGAAATAAAACGAGGAAAAGGTCAAGATCAAGCATACAAATATTTTGGAATGAGAGGGTAAGAAAAATGGCCAAAAACAGAAATATCTCTAACAAAGAAATCTATAGGCGTACTATGAAAAGTGGAGACTTCATTGTTCGAAGCTTCTGGTAAACCATGCAGGCAAGGAAGACCTGGTCAAGGACCTGGTGACACCCAAAAACATGCAAAAAACAGAAGATGGACCGAAAGCAAAGAAGATGAAGGCTGCAACAGTGCCGTCCAACATTTCTTGCGTGAAAATCGCTTCAGCCAAGATAGAAAACTTGCAAGCGGAAGTAAATTTGAAGACCGAAGTTCTGAAAAAAACAGTCGATAGTGCAGCTAGAAAAGACATTCTAACTGCCTTGTCAGTTGCAGACATGTTTAGACACATCATGTGCCGAATTGTGAAGAGCACAGGATGCACTTAGAAAAAATTTGAAAAAGCTGGAACTATCAAAATGTATGACAGACGGGGAAACGGAAAAAGGAACTTAGATAGCTTTCTAGATTTTAAACTGTTTATAAAGAAACTTTGTTCCTGTCTCTGACAGTCTGACGTTGTTGTTGTGTTCATTTGTTATACAGCTGCTACGTTAAGAAATTAACGACGCACCAAATTGGTTTACCAGCACAAATGCATAACGTTAACAATTAACAATTATTACACATGCAATGCATAATTGTTATTTTCATGTGAAAATATATAATATATAGCTTTATTGTTTTACATAACTTGTAAATAACTATTAAAGCAAAGAAATTTTACTTTAAAAAAACAATAATTAAAGTTATTTTGTTAGTTATGTATAGCAATATTGTAATATGTTGGTTATTGACTTATTGTGTTATGTTGTTGATATCATTGCAGCGCTAGCTATCTTGCTCATTCTTTGACTCTCATTGAGATTGCGGATCCCCTCACTGTATTTTGAAAGTCATTTAATACATCTTCCCGTGGATTTTCAATGAATTTTTTCACCCTCTCCCTTGGACTTCCAAGACCCCCTCCCCTGGATTTCCGAGCAATTTTATCGCCACCTACCATGGATTTCCAAGCGATTTTATCGACCCCTCCCTTGGATTTCTAAGCGATTTTATCTACCCCTCCCCTGGATTTCCAAGCAATTTTATCGACCCCTTCCCTGGATTTCCAAGCGATTTTATCGACCCCTCCCCTGGATTTCCAAGCGATTTTATTGACCCCTCCCCTGGATTTTCCAGTGTCCTCAACCCCCCCCCCCCTATGCGGATAATAAATGCAATCTGCCAATGACAAGTGAGAGCAACTATTGCCTTATTTAATACTGCCGAGGGAGCCAATCGGAATGCTCAAAGACTATTTTTCAATACTGAACTTATACTAAATAATTATATTTATATACATGGCCAGAATAAATATCAAGTATCTAAACGTCAATAATTGTTAAGTTAATTTAATAAATTTCAAGTCTGATCTCACTCAGCTGGTTTGCATAAATTTGCTTACTCCTCTTTGAGCCCCACAGCATTTGTCTTGTATTGTTTTGGAAAACTGTATAGCAGATGTCTTTCCGTATACTGAATAATCCAGAACACAAGCTAAAAAAGATAGGAATTGATCAAATCAGATTTATTTAATAAATCAATCAATGGGTCTTTAACTGCATAGAATTTTTATTCTGTTACAAAAATTGTAAAGATATAATTTCCTATGTGTACATCAATTAAAAACAGAATATACTTGATATATACAAGGTTAGAATAGTTTCATTAAATAGCAAGATTTAGTTTAAAATTAAGGCGATTTGCAAAGGAGTTCATAAAACGTTCTGTATTTTAATATCTTAATTAGGCTTACAAGTAGACATGTTTCCGAGCTGGTAGTAGGTTTCCTTATTTTTAATGGTTTAGATTTAATGCATTTAAGGCCCAAGACAAGAACAATTGTCCGGCCTAAGGTGTTATGGTATTTCTATACAGTAATAATTAGTAACACAATCAAACTTGAGTTACTCCGTCATTATGTACTTCAATATATAATCACTAGACAATACATATTTGTTTCTTAACACTCATCAGTTGATTATATCATGTCTATAATCATCTGACAATAACAATACCTGTACATAAACTTTACCTGTATAACATAACAATACCCGAGACAATACCTGTACATAAACTTTATTTACCCAGCTGGGATTCCGATGCAGAGGCTGCCAAAGCCTCCAGCAATACATTGTAATGTATCGAGAATCACCTGATGAGGTAATAAAAGCTTTCCTAACACTGTTAAAGATTTACCTCTCATAGCTCTGATGATTTCAGGGTTTAGTTTGTAGCCCTTTTGTCCACCACCGTTCATATTTGAAATGGCCATTACATTTTTGGAAAAGTATGTGTCCCATTAAAAATGCTGTTAGTTCCCCAGCAGATTTTGTTGAAGCAGCGCACAGTGTTTGTTCACTGTACACCAATATACACTGCTTCCAGGGCAGAGCTCTATCATCTGTAAGAAATATAATTATATGTGTCACATGTTTATTCCATAAAAGCAATGAGCATATCTGATTCGACAACACATGTATTGCCTAAAGAATGAAGGTACTCAGGCAAAACAGTCTGACAGTGTTAACTTTAGCCAGTACTCAGCAGTGGATAACATAATTTTCGATAGTGGTGGTGCTTACCTATGGAAAAAAAGTGTTCTTCCCCATTTGTCAGTCTTCACCAGCTGCAGCTACCAATTGCTCTAAGGAAGAATGCTGCCTGGAAATAACATTTTTCATTTGTCAAGACTAATTCTCCAAAACACTGTTAATTTTTATCCACTATTTGCAGCAAAATAGCGCACTAGCCTTTTCGTATATATATATATATATATATATATATGTATGTTGAGTTGTGTAATTGTACACTCCGTGTGTGTGTGTGTATATAGTATGTCACAAAAAGTTATAATTAATTACAGTTATTGCATTTGGCATTCTATGAATATGAATAGTCTACACAATATTGATATTTAAACTAGATTATGTGATTTTTAGATCTTTTACCTCTTTGAACTGATTGTTCCAATATTCGAACTTTTTCCTTCAAATGTACTTCTTATGTAATATTCTGTACATTTCCTTCCAATTTGTCACATCACTACAAGCAGATGGTGGACCTTTTCTAATATACACAATGTTGTGTCACTTGTGACTTCATCTGTAAGCCAGTAAATATTATTTAATAATTATGTGCTGTGAATAAACACCACATAAAGTGCTTATGGTTTCTTACAAATTCCTTATCCACATAATCTTCAACTTGAACTGAAGTTACTTGAACGTAGTAAATACGGAACAAGAAAGGAATTAAGTAAGCAACTAAGTAGGAATTAACAAGTAAGAGTGCTTTGTACATTCGGCTCATAATACATGGTGCAAATGAACTCATTACAATTTTTATTGCATTGAATAACCCTATGTACTGTACTATATGGCATGGTTTCCTGTGGTTGAATGATGCGTGTTGAATTGCCGGTCTGGAATATCTCCTTCAAGTATCAGACTGTCAAGACCTCTGTGTGATATTTTCCCAGTACAGATCTCTCTCTGGGTTAATAACTAGTATATACACAGTTAAACACATTAATTACATGAACTATGTGAAGCCTTACATTCTTCAGACAACTATAGACATTGTACTTTGGATATTTTACCTTTGGACTTTGTGATGATTTGGGAGATACATTGTCTATCACTATATAACATTGTCATCAACGAGTTTTCTTTTTTTGTTTGGAGGGGTCGAATAATGGCTTGTAGTGGGAGAGATTCCAAACAGGATTTCTCAAGTATACTGTCCAATGTGTACTGAATGCCATCCAGCCTTTTAAACAGTTGCTTGAAGAAATCTTCTGTGACTGTAGCTTGAACATTTCCTCCTTTGACATTCGATTGAGTTTGTGGAATCTAAAATGGTTATGCATACTATATGATAGGGAAAATTCTGCCAAAATACTGCTTGAAAGCTGAGTGAGACCCAGTGACTTCTGAAATGATAACCTTGTGCTCTCACATGTGAAGCTGATAGGTATAGAGCTAGTACTTCAGTGGTCGAGTCTGCTTGCACAGTTTGAATATACAACACTTTTTCCCTGCTATAATGCCCAAGCCATATTGATATATTTGTTGCATTTTACGAAACAAGGCATGATATGGCAAGTTCTCGCTAATTGCATATCAGTTGTTAAAGATTCGGTTTCATTTACCTCACTCTCCTGTTCCTCCGCAACATAATTCCTCACCCGGATTGCTTCTGCCTCTCTGTCTTTCTCTAAATAAAGAAAAAAACATGTGTTATTTATCTAGCAATAATTACAAAAAGCTATAGCTAAAATTAATAATTACACACAAAAAACTAATGTTTACACTACTCACTAGTGAAAAGAGAGACGTGCTTTTCAATCCGCAAAAGCATATGTGTTAACCACGAGGGGCACTTCACTCAAAAAAGTCCTTTTAAAGTCTGCAGATGTTTTTGCAGGTTTTCCCAGACTTTTTTGCTAATTTTTTAAATGAAATTGTAATGAAGTTGTTTTACTTTTCCGGACTTTTCTTGATATTCCCCCTGGACTTTGAGGATTTTGCGCACTTGTGGATTTTTTGCAGATTTTTATAGTTTGAGGTCGGATTTTCCAGGTTTTTACTGGTTTTCTCGGATTTCAAAATATTTTTCTGACTTTTATGATTTTTCGGCAAAGTGTACGGGATTTTTTAGTCAAATGCGCCTCGTTTTTACAGATCCATTATTTAAGACATATTATGTGAAAAGAAATCACAGATGAACTTTGTTACCCATGGCCGATGTAACTGAGTCAACTTCCTCCTTGGTGTCTGACTCCAGGATTGACAGAGCTTTCTTCTTTTGACTGCCTATAAAATAAAACTGTTTTGTTGGAATTATCTGAAGTGCAAATTCCTATACTGACAGATGATTAGCATTTTCAGTCAAGTAAGGGACCATAATTCCATACAGTATATAACAGGAACTTACTTGCAAGGCCACTGGTTAAAGCCAATTATGCCTTCCTCCGGGGTACTGTTTCAAGCCTGCTGCTGCTGTGAGCTAAAGACCACTTTTTATAATTTCTTGACATATAATGCAGTTACTTGATTCTGAAAACTTGCTTTTCACATTATTTTAATTTTTTACATTTGCGTTTACGAAACAATTAAGACAGTAACCCAAAATGGCGAATAATAAAGGTTAATTGTTCTCTCCGAGGCTCCTTAATGTTTACAATGTTTACATCATGATGTTTTTTACCTGATTTCTTTTCAGTTGGGTTTTCTTTTCTATTTTCAGTTTTATTGTGATTGCTTCTATCATCTGTTTCTTGGTCATCCAACATGTGTTCATAGGTCTTTAGTCTTTAATGACATTGGGCATTATTAGAATTTTTTACATTTGCGTTTACGAAACAATTAAGACAGTACCCCAAAATGGCGGATAATAAAGGTTAATTGTTCTCTCTGAGGCTCCTTAATGTGTACAATGTTTACATCATGATGATTTTTACCTGATTCCTTTTCAGTTGGGTTTTCTTTTCTATTTTCAGTTTTATTATGATTGGTTCCATCATCTGTTTCTTGGTCATCATAGGTCTTTAGTCTTTATTGACATTGGGCATTATTTATTAACTTAGAAATTTTGTAACAGCTTAGCTATAGTGTCAGTGGTATATTGGTATTAATTCTTTATTTTATGTCTTGCACCTCTAATTCCTCTAATCGCCACCGCGAGATTTTTTTGTCCTGTCAGACCTAAAAATGATCAATCAAATATCACAATCATTTTTTTATGTGGGGAATTTCTGATACAATCTTTCTATTATAGTTAATACGTTTTCGCTCCTGAAATAAAGTTTCTTTTCTATTCTACGTCATTATTATCAAATATGGGAAGACACACACCTGTGAGTACCAAATTCGTCAAAATAATGATCAGTGTTTTTTGCCATATCCAGAAGATCAAACTGGATATAGGCAGTTTTTACGGTTTAACCTAAAACATTTTAGTTTTAACAAGCTTAATGTCCTCACCGTTTAATAAATATATATATTGAGATATTTAATATAACGGCACGCATAAGAACACAAGGTTTGTGGGGTTATGGAAGTGTGAGACAACTGCTCTATATACTGTATTTTTTATCTGCAAAGAGCTAGGTGCTGAGCGGTTCCCAGGGCATATACTCGTATTGAAAAGCTGGATCTTGGGGAAAGTCGATTAGGACATATACTGATTTGCAGCTGGGTCCTAATCTGCCGAAGACATATACTCATACGGATTTTGAGCTGGGTCCTGAGTCGCTAGAACATATACTCCATTTAGAGCTGGGTCCTAATCTGCCCTGCAAGACATATACTCTGAGCGGGGCCCTGGGAAAAAATGATCAGGGAAATATTTCTTAGAACACTGATCTGGCTCAGCACATATACTCATATGCAGAAATAGAGTGATTTTTGTAAATGGGAATTGGCTGTATGCCAGGTTGCCAAATTCCGTAAAGAAAACGTGAGGTCTATGGTAAAATTGCGACCTCATACTAGAGCAATTGCCTCAAACACTTCATTTTTATTTATTATTTTATTAAATACATAATAACATTGATATAACAGTCTAGTGAATGTTGATAAGCGTTTAATATCCAATGAAGATAATATTTATTTATAGATCTAAATATAGTTCAATGTTCCTGAGAATTCAATATCACTCCCTAGGCGGGCCCATAACATACCATAATTACTTCCAAGTACCATCTTGTTACATCAGGGAAAAGGCTGGAGCATGGGGTGGTTAGTGGGTGACTCTTTAAATCAGTCTTTACAGCTTGCAATCCAAGTAAGAATGATATAGTTAGATAAAGCTAACTCGGATATCTGCCCATGTTTAAACTATAGTTTCATTGTTATAGTTATGAACAGGTCAAAACATAGTGGTTTGGACAATAATTAATAAACGATACTGGGTGCAGTAGCCTATGGGTTTGGCAAGCAAATAATGAAAGTCTGTGATAGAGTCTTCCTTTGTTTAGACAATAGTAGCTTTCGAGTTGGCTTAACATAGACATTTTAAATCTATAATTTTTAGGTCTAGCGCATTGAGTATCGTCCATTAACAATAATTTGTACTCGTAAAAATTACCATTTTCTTAATGAATTTGCTGACCGCAGCAGTCGGTGTGTGCATGCCTTGGGTACTACAGTATGAAAAAATGGGTTTTTTGAACTTTGATAAAACCCAAAGATGAGAATAAAGTTTGAACATTTGAATATATAATAAATACAATTTGGGACAGGGCCAACTGGTGCGACACAAGGATTATGAAACCAAAATAAACCGAGACGCCTAATTATCTGGCCGAAATTCTGATACTACAGTATTGTCAAATATGTTTGTGTTAATACTCACCAATGAATAATGCACAACCAACCCACCGTGCACTACCAGCTTCCTTGACAGTAACCATTTCTTTTTCTTTTGGGTCTTTCTCAATTACATTTTTTGTTTCCACAATCTTCATTTTGAAACCAAACGACGATATACTTTTGATTCTGTGCAGAATCTTTTTTAAAAAAAAAGTAACATTATATAAGCATAAGTCGTTTATCATGTATATGTCTACTTATCTGTGTCTAACCATATTCTTAATCCCAACATGTGTTGAATGTGTTGTCTTCATAAGCAATGAACAGTTTCGAATTGCACATTCACATATTTGTGCGCATTTTCCTGACAATTTATCGGATGAATTATTCATGTCCCACTGGCAGATCCCAAGTTAACTATGTATAAAATAATATACAGCAATTTTCGTCCAAGCACAAACCGCAAACATTTGCGCGTGTTTGTTTACGTTTGAAACGGGGCGTTTACCGTTGGAAATGGAAATGTTTCACTGCTCATTCGACGTGTTATAGTGAAAAGCCTAATTCAATTGTTTTTCATGTACTTTTCAGTGTTTCCAAGCTCACGAAATTGTAAGAGCGACCAAACTTGTTTATATTCATACTTTTTGTGACTAGAATGTATTATCATGGGCTGGAAAATATTGAAACGGGCACGGAGGCACATCAAAACATGGCAGTTGCACCAAAAATAGCTTAAGGCTTTTCAATGTGACACATCACATGAGCGGTGAAACATTTCAGTTTCCAACGGTAAACGCCCCGTTTCAAACATAAACAAACGCGCGAAAATGTTTGCGGTTTGTGCTTGGACGAAAATTGCTGTAATTGATGTGCTATTCCCTTCTTGGAGTTCTAAATTGGCAGTTATCTGTATTGCCTAATGGTAACTACTTTACATGCACCAAGTTCTGGAAGGGGAATTCACCAGGTGCATGACAAAATGGTTGGCAAGATCATGTCCAAGTGGTGTTAATCTCAAAACGCATATCCAGAGTTTGAATGAGCGTCTTGAAACCATTGGTTTATCTCATGATTTCAAGCGGAAATTTACATCTCTAGATGAAGTCAAGAGATGGAAAGCCAGTGGAAAGCAGAACTTCTTTCTTCATGCAATCCTTCCAGTTTGAAAAGATATATTTTATCTTTTCATCAGAGATTTTTTATCACCATTCGCTTTTGGTTACTGGTGTGCGGTTGCTGTGTAAATATAGCATCACTGATCAAGATATTTACATTGCTGAAGCAATGCTTTTAAACTACACCAGGTTGTTGCCTGAATTATATGATATGTCTGAAGCAACGTTCAACTCGCATGCCATAACACATCTTGCACAACAAGTTAGAGAGCAATGGTCCTTTAATACTGCACTCGGCATTCATTTTTGAGTCGGTGCTTGCCCACTTGAGGAGGCTATTTCATGGTACACATGGTATTCTCGATCAGATATGCAAGAAGTTGGCCGTTGCACAGCATGCAGAATATCACGTTTTTGATGTCCTCAAAGAAAACAATGATGCTAAAGAATTTGCTGAAAAACCTTCGAGGTACAACCGTTTTCCTGATAAGGTCGAACTTTCAAATGGTGTAAGTTTCATCGGACCTCTTAAGCCTTTAACAGTCACAATAGACAATGTTGAGAAGGTTTTTCGAATGAGGAAGAAAATGTGATTGTTGCACAAAGAATGGACAGATTTACGACAGCACTGGCAATTGTTAAGATCCTGCATGAGTAAGTCTTGTAGGAAATTGTTAAGATTCTCAGTATATTTTATAGGAAATTATTAAGATACATAGTATATCATATATGAAATTGTTCTCAGTTTCATGTAAACATGCAAGCTAGGACATCTATATATTGTAAATGCTTGTTATTAGTTGTTCAGATAAATCTTTGAAAATATAGTTTATACGGGTAGTTTAAATACTATTACATTTACAATTCATTCATAGAGCGTATATACAAGGAAAATCAGTGTATTTGTTTGTTGACAAAATTTGGCTGTATTAACCAAAATTTATGCCTTCATTTTATAGGCATATAGGCCTTACTGCCCCCCTGGTGAAAAAATCTTGCATACGGCCCTGCTGGGCTGGCATATTGCTCTCCGCCTACAACTTTAATTTGTTGTTCCTGACAACTACACTGTAATTGAATATTATCTTTCTAAAATTAACTATTGAAAGGAGAGCTAACCATATATTTAGCTGTTACACAATCCCGCCCATCCCTATACTTTCTGTTACACCCCTATGGGCCAAAGTGAATACCTGAGTAGGTGTCTTGTTAGTCAAGATACATTATAAGCGAACACAAGTAAACCAAATCCCCCTGTTCACATGTACAATCTGTGACAATCAAGTTTGCTGTTGAAAGGTTACCTGAAAAGAATTCCCTTTTTGGCCCCCCATCATCTACTGCAGGTTCACCTAAGAAAACAATTCGAATTGGAGTATTTGCAGCAAGGTTCCATTTCTCTTTGGCTTGTTTGAAATCCATCCATAAGTGTTTTCTGCGAACATTTACTCTTTTGGGTTGTTCCTTTTTGATATATACATCTACAACTGTTGGGCCACATTCTTCAGGCTGGTATCTGCTGGTTTCGCATCAATAAATCCAGGATCAGGAAGATCAGTGTCCGTTTCACTTTCATTTTCACTGTCTTCTTCTTGTACCTCACCAATCCAGATGTCCACACATTTATCAGCATGCTCTGCAATTTCATTAACCGGGAAAATTTTGAAGCATGATGGACATTCAATGTGATGTTCAACAGAGGATTGTCTTTGTTCATCACCATCATGAGTACTTGGCAATGTATTACTTGTACTTGGTCTTTGTTCATCACCACAGGCACTTGGAAATGTACTACAAGTACTTGGTCCGCTCACTTCCTCCAATGTCGTTTGTTTCCATTTGGCTTGTCTCAATCTCCGGTCATGTTGAGAGGAATGTGCGTTGTTCACAGTTTCGTTGATTATTCGATCATCATCGTCTTCACTGCCATGGTTATTGTCAGATGATTCCGCTTCAAGGTTCTCGCCAATTTCAAATAGATGATAGTTGATGTAATCTGTTTTGGTCGCGATGAAAATAGTAATACGGTTATAGTTCCTTCCAACATCTTCCCTGTATTTATTAAGGACGAATTGTTCAGTTGTTCCTGGTAGTGTAGTGTTAGTCGAACTATTTAATAATATAATACTTACATTAACGATGTACAGCTTTATATACAAGAGTGTTATATGCATGCATAATTAAGTACATCACATAATAATACTACACCTCCCTTTCTAAGTTCTAAATATTAAATATATAAAAAAACAAACTAAAGTCTAAGTGTTCAAATAACTACCACAAAAGTTTTTGACTCTTACGGTTATACATTATAATTACTACATGAAAAGTATGATAATAGGATATGTTAATGTTCAATTACTAAATATTAATATCTAATAACTAATGCTAGTATACCAGTCTATCAGGTGGTGCAGATAGTCTACCTGATCTTGTATAATAACCTGGATTGTTCTCTGGCACTGCAGTTCCTGATGTAGTTGATGTGGCTTCTTGCGGTTCTTCTCGACTATTCTTCGACTATTCTTTGAAGGGTCTTCGATCAGATGTCGTCGATTTCGTTGAACAGTTGTTGTTGGGGTTTTAACCACATACGAGCGAGGGGCTTCAAACTTATTGATAATTGTACCCGACTCTTTACGATCTGGAATCCACACTGGACAATCAGGTTCAATTTGCTGTAATGTTTTCACTTTATTACGGAAATCGTAATTCTTCTTCTGTCGTTTCTTTATTCTTTCTTCCTTTTCTCTGACAGCTACAAGATAAGACCAAGTAGGGACAAGGTGCTGTGATATAACTGGAAGAGTCATTTGAATCTTTCTTCCAAATAAGAGTTCAGCAGGACTATAACCATTCTCGAGTGGAGTGTCTCGATACGACTTTAAAGCAATATACAGATCTTTCAACTTTTTAAGAAGACTTTTCACCGTTTTTACTGCCCGTTCAATTTTACCGTTGGCTTGAGGATATTTTAGACTGCTGTCTGATGCTTGAATCCATAACTGGAGGAGAACTTTGAAAATTCAACTGAACTAAATTGAGGACCATTATCTGATATAACATGTTCTGGAATTCCATGTCTAGCAAAACAAGACTTCATATGCATAATTACACTTGTAGATGTAATACTGTTTAAGAGAGCTATTTCGGGATATCCTGAAAAGTAGTCAACGATTATAAAATATGTCTTACCCTTTAGCTCAAACACATCAGTACAAAGTTTTTGCCATGGTCTATCTGGTAGAGTAGAGGATTGCTTGCTCTATTCAAGCTCATGCTTTATTCTTTCTTTCTTTAACACATTCATGACAGTTTCTAACCAAATCATCAATTTGTTTGCTCATACCAGGCCACCACACTGACGTTCTTGCTCTTTCTCGGCACTTGGTTATCCCGAGATGTCCTACAGGTAGATGCACTATTTCGCTGTTATCTGGGTAAATGAGTGTGTATTCTAGGTTCTCATGGACGTCTTTAAAGTGGTTTGCGTGTTTACGAACGCTTCTTTCCAAAATTGTCTTTCGATCTGCAGTCACTGTTACTTTGACAGGAAGCGTTCGTCCTCTACACCTTTTAAATTTGTCAATTTCGAACTTCATATACCCAACGTTGATACTCACTTGTGTATCCTCTTTTCCCTTCACCATTGATGTCAAACTGCTTCCCGACTTTAACTTTTTTTTTCGGTTGAAATCTAAATCTTTCTTCTTCTTTCCTCTTTTTAAATGCCATGAAACTTACGGGTTTCTTTTTGTCCTCTTCTGCTTTCTTGCTTTTCACAGAAGCACCGCATTTCCAGCAGACGTTAGAGCAATTTGGTGTCTCCACACCACAAATATGACAAAACATTTTAAAAAAATGCTTTCTTGGAAAGCGACCAAGCGTGGAAAAACAACATGGCAGCTGTTTCACTATTTTCTTGCAGTTTTCCCGCTATTAAAATTAAAATTCCCCGTAGCCAAATGGGAAGTTTACTTCCGTTGTTTGACTCTTACTTCCGTCATGAGACTTTTACTTCGTCATATTCTGTCAATATTTTTTGTTTGCGTTGTCAGTATTTTTTGTTTGCGTTGTCAATATTTTTTGTTTGCGTTGTCAGTATTTTTTGTTTGCATTGTCAGTATTTCTTGTTTGTGTTGTCAATATTTTTTGTTTGCATTCAGATTTTTTTATTTGCGTTGTAACATTTTTTGTTTGCGTTCAGATTTTATTTGTGTTGCAAGGTTTTTATTGTGTGGTAATTTTTTTATTTGT